ATCATGCTCTGCGAACCTCACTATATAGGTCATCTTTGATCATTAACTAATATATTTTATGACAGATATTATAAATATACTCGTATATATAAACCTATTACAAATGCCCATTTTTGTAATAATAGTACCCACTACCTAGCGTATGCATTTCTAAACAAGTATAATATTATGCCATTGAGTAATACTTGGAATAAATAAAATGGGTTTATTAATCTTATATTATGGTTTATTCTACTCCTACTTTTATTAATAACATATTTAGATGTTGAACAGATAATTTTTCAGGTTCTACAACTATTTTCAATAACTTGCAAAATGTGCTTATTATTATTTAATTGTAGATAATATATATGTATGATTTATAAATTATTATAGATTTTTTACTTTTTATAAATTAGCTTATGTGTAGATAGTATCACGTTGAGTTTATTATTCAGCACTGAAAAAATGGAGTAGATACTGTGATTTTCGTGTGGTACAAGATACATTGAGTCTATTCACGACGAATTTTCAAATTATGTTATATGGATTTTTTTTTGTTTTATTTGAAAATAGCCACAACAATAAAGATTATTGGCTTTCAAAGAAAAGGTTTACTTGTTTTCTTTTTTAGTACAGCAATATACATATAAGGTTGTATAATATGGTTTATTATATAATGTATATGAACCTATATACACATACACTAAATAGATACAGATACCTATTAGTCTGTTGTAACAATTTATAGTTGTAAAGAGTGTAACTGTGTCATTTATAAAATAATAAAACTTATTTAAGGAATACATCTTGTCTTTAAATGATACARTAATTATGTATTTATATGTTAAACTTGATTTCCATGATAAGCATATTATACTATAGAGCTAAATATGAATATACAAATTAAATTTTCGGCCAAATTTCCAAATAATTTTAAGATGGTTTACGAATAGCTTATAAGTCGATACGGTAATTTTTCGCAACATCGCCAAGTAACCAATATTCATTCAGGCAAAATGCCAAAACAGATTATTTCGGCACGTGACTAGGCATATCTAGACACGTCCGGTTACGTTTTATAAACACGGAAATCACGGTTTTTATTATACGAAAAACGCCAAATTATTGCAACAACTATATTTATCATACCAACATAATATAGGTGGATTAAAGTGTTACTTTCGTTTCAAATTTTTTCTGTGACAAATAAATGCCTAGGTACATAAAAATCAGTAAATCAGATGTAGGTACTTATAACCCCTGGTATCAGTGACCCGTATAGTCTGGTATAGGCTGTGGGAATATGAAAAAATAATCTGTTCACGCATAGCTACAATTAATTAGCCCTGACATGTAAACACATTATTAATTATTATAATTTATATTTTATAATAACAAGAACCAATGAATGTTGTGTTAACGTTGCAGTTACATTCGGAATATAGATCGTTAATCAAATTTCCACAAATTCACGGAATCGTACTCTGCCGAATAAACTGAAATTAACTATCCTTAAGGTTACAGACATGTTTTTCGGATGTTGATTATGCCATATTTTGGGAAGTGTGTGTTAATGAATTAGTGATAAATCAACTATCCATGTAAATTTAAAAGCTAAAGTACCTATATAACTAGATTTGAAATTTACGATTATGAGCGAAACTTAGATTACTTTTTAAGCTATAGGTAGTGTATATCTAGGCATGTAAGTAGTATTTTAGTACTTAACTTGCAATAAATAAGAATTTCGATTTATTTATGAATTTTATTGAAATTTGAACAATAATACTCTTTTAAAAATATATATTCTTATTATTTGGACAACCAATAAATTCATAGATGTGATATACTCGTATTGTAGTTTTTTAATTTATTTATATATGGATTTAAGAGGAACAGGCATTCAGTTTTTAAATTATATTAATGTTGTGTTCTAATTAGTAATTTATTATATTGTTATTGKAGTTGAAGTCTATTTTAAGAATTTAATAAATAAATGAATATAATTTTTAATGAAATTTGCTGGCTGTATAACTAATATTTGCTTACTTTCCTTACTGTGCTGCTAGAAGGAAGATTAATTACATAAACATATTTCAAACTATAACAAATTATTTCTGTATTTAGTATGTATACATTATGCACATACTAGATCCGGTTAATATTCATGGAGCCCAATATACATATAAATGTCTAATTTAAGTAATAGGAAAACGTATAGCGTAAGGATATAGTATATAAGTAATATAACTATATGCAAATTGCTAGGCTAGTTTCATGGCACGGTAAAAATAACAGTATTGTTAAATTTGCAAAATGATGGAAAAATTAGAAACTCCAATTATTTGACGATAAGATAAAATAAATCAAAAAGCTAACAAATAGCTATTCAGTACCTACTAATGTTAAAACCACATATCTTCCGGATGTATTCCCACGAAGCATTTTATATCTTAAACCATCAATAAATTAGTTGATTTGTTGGCATTTAATATCTATTTTCCTGCGTTCAGCCTACACAATATACATTATTACATTAGGTACCTATTTGCATTGTTCATCGCAGTTTTTTTCATAGCACCTGTTTATCAATAATAGGAGTATAACAATGGAGATAATGATTTGAGAAAAATCGTTGGGTTTTAATATCATTTTAAAACCACAAACGGCAATAAAGATAATCATCAATAATTTTTACAAACATCATTAATAATACCAATACCTAGGTAGGTAGTAAAATAATTTTTATCGTGATCAATGGACCAAAGTCACTATTATTTATTTTATTTGGAATATTTTTGCAGTAGGTATTTACTAGATCGAATTTACAGATATAACTAGGTATATATTATTCAAATACAAACTAATATTTATTTCATTATTTATCTAGATCGAGACAATCTGATCGTAAATAAAATATTAATTTTGTTATAGTATTATAGTAATATATTATAACATTTTAATACGTTACATAGGTATAACAACTATGTATATAAGTTAAACTTATAAATCATAAGAAATAGGTTAACGATTGATATTTTTTAAAATACTTCCTTCTATAAATCGATACCTAATAAATTTAACAAATTATCAACTGAACAAATGATAATTTTAACTGAATCATAAAAAATAATAGTTTAACCCCCGTCAAAATATATTGTAAAATGATTTGTAGGTAAAACCTATAATAAACAATTGATATTTATTTTTCTGGATAATATGCTTAAGTACCTACTGATTATCTTATTGAAACAATGCTTGTAGATATATATATATATAATATATATATTATATTATTATACATTTGGTTTACTAGTATGATTATTGTAGTTTTGCAATTTTCGTAGATTTAACTGCAGCGCATCCAAGACTTGCTATTAAGAAACGTTACATAATTTAATATCTAAATATATATATATATACTGTTAGCCGTTACTGAATTTAAGACAATTTATCTCAAGAAACGAAAGTCACAATGCGCATGCATATCCAATACGTATTTATAAATATTTTATCCACATTACAAGTTGTTAACTGGTGTTTATAACTTTAAATATATTTATTAATTTACAGAGAAATCGTGTTTTGCTTCAAGCTGGAAATTTATTAAACATACAAAAAAAAAAGAACATTAAGAAGAAATATCACAAAGCAATGTTAAGAAGGTAGAATACGTGAGTTGTGACTATAGGTAATACGAGAGAATACAATATATCACCATATCAGATATATATATATATATATATATTTTTGTTTTTTTTACAAGTAATATTAATATACAATCTGTATAATTAATACAATAAGAATATGTGCTAAGAGTATATTCACAGGAAAATAATTTGATAAAAGGAGCCACCCATTAATGACACTTTCTATGGTTACTTAATTATTTACTTAATAATTATTTTTATTAATTAATTTATTTTTATTTAAATTTTTTATTTTTTTATAACCAATCACGACACCACTTGCGCTTTAGACTTCTTGGGGAATTACCTGGAATAGTAGTGGATGACAATTTTTTGATAAGTGGATTCGTTTAGGGGATTGAAGAATCTTTTATAGAAACATTTGGATTCCTCAGTTATTATTTTTAGTTTTACGTCTGAATGAAAGGAAAAATTTGAGACGTAAGGAGGAGCATTTGTCTAATTTCTTTAGAGCAATGTTTTGGAATGCTCATATCAGATATATCAATAAAATATCTATATTCATTAACTACGTAGTGCATTGTATTTATGTTATATATGTACATACTGCAAGATACAAATCTCAACATAAATCAATGCTCATATCAGTAAACTTAAATTTAATTCACATGTTTTTTGAATATATTAATATTAATTGCTGAGTAATGTATAATATACGTATCTCATTACACCAGGGAAAATCTAATGAAAAAAATAAATTAAATAATTCAAAATTCGATAAATAATTAATAATCGGCAACCAGGGAGCTACTCAAAAATAAGTTAATAATTGACCTAGGTAATACCTATATACACGAAACTATATGAGCACATGATATACATTTTATGATGTTAAATAGAAATAATTTATAACATAAGTAATATAGCTAGTAATAATTGGTTCAAGTTGTTTATTAAACACTAATTAATTACTAAACATTAAACAATAAACACGTCTCAAAATTAAATTATTTTTATGTGTTTAAAAGTAAAGAATATGCATATTATATTATATATGTATGTATTATACAACTCTATAATTTGGTTGGCAAGTTTTTTTTGTATCAAGTAGTTAAAAATAAATATCTTAATCATTGCATTGTTTTAATTAAGTGTATTTAAAAAATTTGAATACCATGCATGCTGTGTTAAAAAAGCATTATTTAATTGGTACTTTTCAGGTCTTTAAAATATAAGGTCGAAAAATTTATCTTTATATTTGATTTCAAGCGTTAACAAGAATAATTATTATCTGAGAATTATAACAGAGAATTAATATTATTTTCCAAAAATTATTAAGTGTAGACAAAAATCGAAAAAAAATAATACCTTTTTGAGGAAGTATGAGAATTCTTGATGCGTCCAATTTCTGGTTTATTGACACTGAAAAGGCATACGGGCCACACAGAGAGTTGTCCGGGCATATTAAATTTTCTACACATAAAATAAAGAATTAGTTTGAAAAAGTTTGAAAAAGTTAAGTGGTCTACCTATTCAATTGTGTTATCTACATTTTGAGATTTTTGAACATGAATCACGAAAATATAGTATTTACTATAAGATAGGTTGGACAATGGGCACAGGGGCGGTTTTAGAGGGGGGTGTGGGGGAGGGTGCTACACATCATTTGATTCGTAATAAAATATTTAACATTTATAATATATCAATATAAAAATAATATAAATTATTATGGTTATTTGTATGCACATTAATAGGTACCTACTCTTATTAAATTTATACATAAAATTTATTGGATGCTCTCGCATAAACTTGTATTATTAGACTATTTCTGGACGTTTGGTTTATGATTGTAACAGAAATAGAAAAAATAATTAACATCTATTAAATTATTTTGTGTCTATCATTCCCCACTTTGAATAGTTCCTCCGTAGAACCGAAGTACCGAACACCCGACACACCACACATTTGATAATATGTACGGTAATTTTATTGGGAAATGATGATCTATGATGATTAATAAAAATAGATTCCAACAAATGCTAAAATTCATAATGCATTGGTATTTGGTTCATTCCAAAAAACGGTCTTATCCTTATCTAATATCTACTAACCAGTAACCGCCTCAGAATAATATTATGTTTATAATTGTTTAATAATATTAATAATAATAATGCCTATTATACATAGACATAATAATATTATATTATGTCTATGCTATTATATTGTAGATATTTCAATTTTTAATAACATAATGTTTAAATTTGATTAAATCGTTGTTTTGATGTCGTTGGTAAATTTAAATTATTAAACTGTGATTTTAAATTGTGAAAAAGACTTGACTGACAAAATTGACATAGATTGTGATCTTAAAAATGGTCTTCTGCTAAATAAAGAAGAATTTAAATTTGAAATAACTTAACAATAAAAAAAGATTTTATATTTTTATGTTTATAATAATAAATAATAATGATATTACTCTTATACTTTATATTAAAATTAATATAAAATGGTCAATATGTTTAATTGTCTTTAACCTTTAACTTAATTATAATATCTTAAATTTGTAATATTTAGTTGAATCCTAAATCTATTAAATCTATTTTTAGATTTTAACTCTAAATTTAATTGATTTGCACACAGCTAATGTTTGTAAATTAATCACTCCCCCTCTCCTCTCATACGGTTATACAGTCGGCAATTTTTTGGATGCACCCCCCTAAGTATTTATCTTAAAACCGCCCCTGATGGACATGTTAAATTCTCATTACAACTCAGATATGAAAACATAGTATAGTTCCAATATAAGAACTGGACATATTTTAAAAACAAAATATTTATAAGTCATAGATATGCCTACTTCCAAATTTTTTTCAAACACTGTTTGACCATGGTTTGATTTGTATCTGATATTTTTAATATATTTTTACATTTTTTGCATTTCCCAAATTAGTAAATCATTCCAAACGTATACCTATATTGGATAAAAAAAAAAAATTGAGTTAGTAAATTAAATTATTTGGCTCAGTTCAGAAGTAACATAATGTTTTTTAAATTATTACTAATGTTTTGGGACATCTCTAGAGTCTTTCATATTCATAATTGGGTAGTATATATTATATGCCAATTCAAGGTCTCATTCGCAAGTTAAAGTTATTCGCTGTTATCGTCTATTAATTATACTTGTGCGTTCATATAATTATGCATTTGAAAAAACTTTATAATACATTTTTTTTAAACTATTATAAGTTATAACAATACTGCAGCCAATTAAATAAGAATGGTTGACCACAACATGACAATTAATTTGAAGTTTTTTTTGGGATAATGTAAAACCAACATAACAATAATATTATATAAACATAGATTATCATCTTCATAGAATCTGTGATACAACGTTTACTAGAATTTTAAAATAATTGATGATCGTCACTCGTCGGTAATATAGGTATATAATATATTKAGTACTTAATAGGTACAATTTTAGTTTAATAAATTGATATTAATCAATAATCAGTAGGTAAAATATGGTAACACCCATTAATTTTTTTTTGGTAGGTAGCATGCTACCACAACAAAGTAATGGTTGGTAGATATAATAATAAACTACACAAAGATGAGTACCGAAAAATTACTAACAACAATCTATCATCTATCTATTGAACAATTTTAAAGGAATTTTAGTAACATAGTTACATGGTTATTCTAACAAACCTTAGAATCATTTTTTAAATGTGATAATATTTCAATGGTCTGAAATCAACAAAAATCATATACTACTATCTTTTTCCAAATCAAACAAAACGTAAAAATGTCAAGCATTTGATGTTTGTTTTTTTCGATCTTACCGATGCGTTAGTTTTAGTTGTAAATATAAACTAAAATACATATTTAAATATTTAATACAGTTAGGTACTATTAATAMATACATTTTTGTTTCACTTCAACTAACAATACTATTCTATTTTTAACATTTATTTTAAAAAGTAAAGTGAATTAAAATATGTGAAAGAAATTGGGAACTTAAATTACTCGTTAGATACTACTGGAATTCATACAATAAGTCAAATCGTAATAATTAATAAGCTTAAAGTTGAACAAGTAAAATTAAACCATAGTTTTTAAATTACGAATTATATTTTAAATTACACAGAAATTTGTTGTAAAAATCCAATTTTTATGATCCCTAAACAAGTTTAGTGTGAACATATGTAAATATTATGAGTTACAAAAATGTAAGCCCTATAAACCCCATGGTAAACATACACGATTACAAATAAATCCGAGAAAAGTGTTTTCATATATTTCATATTATCGAGCATATTATGTAGTCTTCTTTTTTGATTATTGTAATTTATTTCTAAGGTGCAATTCACCTACCTATCGTCTACAAAATAATAAATTATTTAATAAAATATGTTTATTAAATTATTTCAAATACAGTAGGTACAAATCATTATGCTGTACTAACAATTTGTATCATACAAAACATAATATACCTACGTAACGATGTACAAAAGCATAATAAATTAATTAAACGCGCGATGATCTGAACCTTGGCAATTTTATTTGATATTTTATAATATAATCTAACCACGATAACCGACTCAGTGCATCATGCAATACAAATTACAAAAAAGATCTTGACTTGCTAGAATCAAAATATACGTATACATATGTATATTAACTCTACATTGTACTAATAAAATACACTAAATAAATAAACAATTTTAAAGTGTTTAAATACATACCGATATGATGCTTTTTCTTCCGTCTATTTAAAAATAATATCACGAATGTATTTCAATTTAATATGAAAACAAATATATTTATAAAGCTTATAGGTACAATTTATATTACAGTATTACCTACCTAATCAAATGAAATATTTATGTATATATTTTAATTTTAATTGTTACTGATCTAGATACTTATACTCTATTAAGTATAAATAGCATATTATACCATATATACATTTCTTCATTATACATAGGAGAATATTAAAGTGATTTTTTAACTGTGACTTGTAATAGTTGGTTTAATAATATGGTATTCTTTAATAGTAATTCATAATGAATATATTAAATTTTTTAATTAAAATTGATTTATGTTTGGTTATCCAAACGATGACTTATATCAATTATCATATATCAAATGAAAACTGATAATATTTCTAAATTAGTTTTGAAATAATTACTTGATATGCATGAAATAATAAAATATACCTACGTTGCTTGATTTGTTTTCTCATAAATGTATATATATTTTTTACAAAGTGAAACCAAATTATAATATGCTTAAATCTTTAAAGAAAATTTGTATTTAACTTGCGATAATGTGATACGGGTTATGGGTAAAAAATATTAGTAATTATTATATTACACATAATATGTATTACTACAAAGTACAAGTAAAAAGATACAGTGACAGAAAAAATCGAATAAGTGCTATTTAAATTTTAAACTTTAAAGATATATAAATCTTACCATTTGACAGTTAAGAACGTTCAGATTATATCTATGACATATTATGCGGTTACTTTGACAAATGAACCATATCCTAAAGGAATAACAATTGAAGTAGAGGTGCAAAAAAGACAAACAACATTTAATATTTTAATCTAATTAATAATTTAATATAATATGGTTTCACTTATAGAATTTCGAAATAAATTATTCGTCTATTTTTTTWAATATGTTTGTAGATTTAACGAGATTATCAAACGATTTTGGAGCATAGTTTTTTGAAGGAAAATAAAAATGCAAAATTAAATATTATAAATCTTTTAAAATCCACGAGTGCCGTAATTTCATTAATTTTGTCGTGATATTATACTTGCACATTTATATGGTACGTTTGTCACAATAATATTTTAAGATTGTGAGTGAAATATTAATCATAAAAATAATCAACTATTTATAATCAGGAAGACTATGACAACAATCGATATGGCGTACGTTAAATTAGTATTCCAAGTGCCATATTTTGCTATTAATGCTATATTTTGTAAGGTTATGACAAGGCTAAAGTATTTCAAAAACGACATCGTCATTATGATTTACTTCCATCATCAAAATATAAAATTATAAAATTATTTTACCAATAATATAATTTCTAGTTTCTGAGTATTGGGTACAACAATATATTATAATATACTTGCAGCTAATAGTCTTTTATAGCTATACCGATACATAAAACCCTATTATAAAGAATTGAAATGCAGAAAATCGTATCAATAACGAATATTTTGTACCTACTGAACTATATTTTGTATTACTTAGTATAAAACATTAAAATAACGTATATTCATTAAAAATAATATACGTATTGAAAAGTAAAATAATCATCATGGTAAAATGTAATAGGTTTAACGAGTTGATAAATGGAACCACTATATGTAATAGGTACCTATAATAGCAAAGTAAAGGTATAGTTTTTTATTGCATATTTTCTATGTATAAACAAGTGGTGTTCGTCGTGTGCGTGTTGAGTTGGTTACTGACAAAAAATTCGTTGATCACTAAATGAAACAATGCGTAAATATACGTAATAAGGTAAGCCCAGTTAAAAGATTTCGTTATGAATTCTTGATTTTATTACCTAATAATCTCAATTATTAGACTAGAAACTTACTAGATGGTTACTTATCATAGTAATATTATAGAGTATTAGTGAGTTTGTAAAAATATTGAAAATTGATTTGTTGTAAAAATATAATAACCAGCGATACATATTTATTAAAACTATATATCCAGCTATTCAGTATCCTACATCGAATCCTTTATTAAGGATAATGTATAATTGTACTTATTAATTATTTAAAATCGGTGTTTTCATTTTGATTAGCAAAAATTTGTTGCACCTAAGAACTGTGGGGAAAATACGTAACATAAGATCTTAACAAACAATAAATTCTTACACGTACTCTTTGGATATTATAATAATATTATTTATTGATCCGGTACACGATCTGATAATAATACAATCATTGATCAAAATACATGGTCATAATTAACTCACGATTATTTAATTTATAATCATCTTTACATGATAATATTCTAATTAATAGTAAAATTTATAGAATTACAAGCTGTAAACATCAGTACATGGTGTAAAGTATTGGACGAGAATTAAATTATATAGTTAGTTTAGACCTGTTACTATCTCTAGATATAGATAGCCTACTGTTGGCTAGGAATGTCTTATAAAATAAAATAAATAATAAAAAAAAAAAGTTAAGACCTGTAATAAATGCTTACGAGTTATATATTTTGTTTACATAAAGCGCTTGATAAAACGTATCTATGGATAACGAAATTGTTACAAAATGAGCAACTGTAACCTATACCTATAATATAAATATATAACAATATTAAATACCAAAAAAACATTTTTTAATCGAAAATAAATTATCTTAAAATAATGGAATCTACATTTTACGTTATTTTTAGTTATAATAGTTTAATCATTTATCGAAACATTCGAAACGTTTAAATGGTATTATTTAAGTCGAGAACGTGATTATTTTTATTTTGTTTTTCATATTTTTGTTGCAAAATTAAATTAAATTGATTTGTTACTCGTTTATAACAATAAATACAGTTACAGATTTAAGACACTTTAGTTATGCGATAGGTACGTATTGATCGTAATAATTTTCTCATTCGTTTAATTTAAGTCGACTATGTACAAGATCAATCCGGTGTATCCACACAAATTATATATTCATTGAATAAGTCTATAGTTTTTCTATTAAGTAAAAAACCATCACTTGCATTTACAATATTTTCACGGGTATAAAATACTATAATATCATCGTGATTAAATTTTTGGTTTTTTACAAAACGAGTTTTTCGATAAAACTTTTGTATAACGGGTGTACATGATAGTTACGACAATGTATGTATTTTCTATGTAAAGTATCAACAAAGCTACAATAGGAATAAGACCGAGTATAAAAAGTTACGTACCTACCTACGTCAATAACAGCAAATAAATCGTAAATTTTGATAACTACGACATTCTTCTACTCGTGTATTCACGTTATAAATAAATGCATTCACCCCGAATGATTCAATTTATATACACGTAATTCAACGAATAAAATAATAAATATGCCAAAGTGCACTTGCTGTACATTTTTTCTACGGAAAGCTACTAACTGCAAGTCAGTCTGAACCTATATAATATTATACATTCATGCATATAATGTAGGTACCCTTAAAAGTTATATATTACACTACTCGTAGACTGAATAAATACTGATCGCAAACGAATCAAACGATTACAACGTTCATAACATAAAAATATTATGTAAGCTCAAGATCGTACGACCGGGGCTCCGCTTTGATTTCCTACCGGTTTGAAAAATAAAAAGAATCATAAATTTGCAGTTAACACTGGGTATTATAGGTGTATATTATAATAAACATTTTATAGTATCTACCAATACGTCGGCAAGCGTCGTAAAATTTAATCGGGGCAAGGAAAAATTAAAACACAAAAAAAAAACGCAAAACTCGTTTTCCGACATACACGAACCCCTTCGCCTGCTTACCATCATCGTAATCAATTTCGGTTTTTCATACAGAGATAAAGCTTTTACAGAACCCACTAATTGTTTTTGACCGCGTTAGAAATCAAAATTATTTGTGTTTTCCGCTTACCATATATATGACGTGACGGGGGATGCCTCGAGAACAATAAAGTCGCCACCGCCGGTTTGGTGCCCAAGATCCTCCTGTTAGCACAGTCTATTCCGCTGCAACTCTTCTGATTTTTCTGGTAGATTTATTCTTGTATTAGGCGATCGTCCCCAAGCTCGTCGCGGCTGTCGATCGCCGAGGTATGAGATATAATATTGGTATCTTTGCTAGGTAGGCGGTTTGCTCGCTGTGCAGGTGACGATGACGTCTGGCGGTGATCTTGGTTTGTTGATAATAATAATATGATATATTAAGGTAACTGAGGCAGCGACTCGTTTTTCCTTAAACAACAGTTACCTGTACAAATCGCCTAATACTTGTGCGTGACTTGATATTGTCAACGAATATACGACGCTATTCCAAACGATCTCGTGTAATATTATAATATAATATGAGTACACTCACTATCGCGATCGCGCACATGCACAGACAATCAGTCGCCCGAACGCGTTGCGTACCTGTGGACTACTGCAGCAGCTGCACGCGACGCGTCGCCGACGAAAATAATAATAATAATAATAATAATAACGAAACAACAAAATAAAAAGTCCGCCGAAACCCTTCTTCTCACCGCCGACGTGCTGCGCGTTGATACGGGCGAGCGGTGTATAATATTATCATTAAAACACGTAGGTASAACACTTGTAGTACATTATTTTGTATTATTGTAAACACACGTACGTTATTACTTATTATTGTTGTTATTATTATTTTCTATAATAAATAATTAGGCCCGAGAAGTCACCAGCTGTGCGCGTGCGTGCGTTGCGGGACGTCGCTCCCCGCGCAGCTGCGACACAACCGTATTTTTGCACAAATTTTGTTGTTTTATAATTTTTTTTATCTATTATCCTCTTCGCCCGTTGTTCCGACGTCAAAAACTAATACGTGCAGCACATTATCGGTAGGCATTGAGCGCGGTTGTTGTGCGCTTTTAGAATTTTTGTTAATATAGAAATAATACGAGATATGTTATGATAGTATTATAATATAGGTAGGTATAAACTAAATAGAAACAAAAGTMAAAACAATCTTTAAGCTTAGCTCGAAGTTTGAATTGTCTAAAATGTATAACTATTAATATTTATCAAACAATATTGTAATACGTCTGTGGATGCATGATTAATTTTATAAACAACGTATGATTCGCACTTTGTGATATTTACAATTACGTACTATACTGAGTGCATCTATATTTCATTTAATCTTAAAACCTAGATAATATTTTTGAAATATAAAAGACTTTTTTATTCACAAACAGATAATAATCACCATCGAATAATCGYGAATTAATCATCACCTCGTTTAATAGATTAAAATTTTCAGAAAATTCCGTTATTTCATARTGAGATTTTACTCGTGATTTCGTTCGTTTTGATTAGGAAGAAKGAGGTGCGATGACTGCCTCTAATTTCTAATTGCTGTCTGTTGGCTTGTGGTTAGTCCACACAATAAACTGCGACAATTGCTGCAATCGAAACAGATTTAATTGGTAKCATAACAGTTTAATATAACAGCATATACATAGCTAATAATAGTTCCAACAAGGATTTCGAATTTAGAGGCTCAAGAGTTGAGACTCACTAATCTATTATATTTTTTTTTGAGGGAATTATAAATATATTTAAAAACGCCTATTTTCGTATATAATATGTACAGTTTTTACCTGTTTTCCACCGATCTCCATTCCATATTATGTTGTAAGTTGTGATACTCATAACACAGCTTGCTTTGTAAGGCACGGGACATATTATTCTAAAAAAAAAAGTAATAATCTATTTTATAGAATTTAGTTAAAGTATTATTCAAGTATATTAAATATAAATATATCTATAACGTTTATTTCAGTCCGATGAGAAAAAAAAGTGTGCTTCCTATTATATTATGTT